TGAACAGGATCGCGATCAGGCTTCTGAAGAGTTTGCTGATGATTTTCCCCTCAAGCCAATGACACCATTCCTGGAGCACTAATAAGATGGCCAGAAGTTCATGATTAACCACATAATTTGACAACAAACAAATTTGAAAACAAACAGACAGCCAACACATCACACTCCTGTTTCCTCCCACATTCCAAAAACATGCATGAATCCTGGTCACTGAAACAGTCTAAATTGTCCTCAGGTGTGATTGTGAGTGTGAATGGTTGTTTGCCTTTGTCTGCGCTGAGATTGGCTGATAACTACTTCAGGCGTGTACCCCGCCTACTGCCCAAAGACAGGTGGGATAGGGCTCCAGCACGCCCACGACCCTAGTAAGGATAGAACGGTTCAGATAATGTATGCATCAATGGATGGAAAGAAATGATTGAGGGAATGACTAGGACAGCAGCAATTAAAGGTAACGGAAGAAAGGGAATTTTAGAGTGTGGTGTGGTATAATGGGAAGGTGAGTGAGATATGTCAATATCATGGTTCGAAATGAACCAAATAATGTTTTAGGATCCCAGAATGGTAGACACCAGACAAATCTCTGTAACAAAAAATATGTATTCACACAAAACGCACCGACAAATTAGAAACAGAAATCTATGGTCAAATAATGACCAGGGAAAGAAAAGCAATACTCTAACCCAGGAGTGTCAAACGTACGGCCCGCGGGCCGGATCCGGCCCCCAAAGGACTTGGGAGCATATATTTCTGCATTTTATTGCTTGTGCTGTACACATGTATTTTGTTAACATACTTGCATGTTCATAAAGGACATGTACCTTAGTAGTTTCCCACACAAGGAAATTCTGTTATAAGGAAAGACTGGACAATGCAAACGTGATTCCTTACTAGAGAATACCTATCTGTATATAAGTATTCTGACTTCTGCCATTCCTCTTCGGAATATTGACCTTGCTTGCTGTATTGCATCGTTTTTTTTTCATAGTTGTCAAACTCCAGTCCTTGAGAGACGTCCTCCTGCATGTTTTCCATTTCTCCCTGTTTCAACACAATAATAAATGAACCGGATCGCGATCAGGCTTCTGCAGAGTTTGCTGATGATTTTCCCCTCAAGACAATGACACCATTCCTGGAGCACTAATACGATGGCCAGAAGTTCATGATTAACCACATAATTTGACAACAAACAAATTTGAAAACAAACAGACAGCCAACACATCACAATCCTGTTTCCTCCCACATTCCAAAAACATGCATGAATCCTGGTCACTGAAACAGTCTAAATTGTCCTCAGGTGTGATTGTGAGTGTGAATGGTTGTTTGCCTTTGTCTGCGCTGAGATTGGCTGATAACTACTTCAGGCGTGTACCCCGCCTACTGCCCAAAGACAGGTGGGATAGGGCTCCAGCACGCCCACGACCCAAGTAAGGATAGAACGGTTCAGATAATGTATGCATCAATGGATGGAAAGAAATGATTGAGGGAATGACTAGGACAGCAGCAATTAAAGGTAACGGAAGAAAGGGAATTTTAGAGTGTGGTGTGGTATAATGGGAAGGTGAGTGAGATATGTCAATATCACGGTTTGAAATGAACCAAATAATGTTTTAGGATCCCAGAATGGTAGACACCAGACAAAACTCTGTAACAAAAAATATTTATTCACACAAAACGCACCGACAAATTAGAAACAGAAATCTATGGTCAAATAATGACCAGGGAAAGAAAAACAATACTATAACCAATAGCGCTTGCAAATGGCAAGGAAGAAATTAACCAGAGACTACCAAACGAAATGCCAAGAATCCAATTCACGTGAAGCAAGAACGAATAACAAAACTAAGACTATACTTACAAAAACATAGAACTCAGAGAATCAGAACAAACACGACGAGAGGCCTAGAAAAATGATCACTTGAGCAAGAGCAGTAGCAAGGTCAACAAACTCCGACAACCTGCTGAAAGTTTGTTGGTCCTTAAAAACATGGCTCCCAAATGACAAAATTGGCAGCGGGATGGGCTCAGGTCTGCCTCCTGCTGGAGAAAACAAGAACAGGAATATGACAGTCAATACAGTACATGTTTGAAAAAGGACGGGTGGTGTCCGATTGTGTTGTGTCTCACAATAGTGACCACGTACAGCAGGTTTTTTTGTGTTGGTTGAGTTTAATCATCTCAATCACGAAACCTGACGATCAAAGCAGAAAACAACGTTCTCCCGTCAATTATACTGATACACTGACCACGCCCCTACACAAATGGCACAGCAATGTATTAAAATACTTAAACTTGTAAATCGTAGAAAGGGTTCTGTCAGTCGTCATCTGTACCTGTGGGTAAAAAACAAAAAACAAAAAACAAAAAAGGACGTTTCGCTTCTCTCACAGAAGCTTCGTCAGCGGTAGACAACCCTGAAGTCTCCGTGAAGACTCCGGGAAGTTGCTCTGCGCTAAAAGGCTGAGCTGGCATCGAAACGTAGAAGAACTGTAATGACTGGAGCGGAGCGAGTGAAATGCATCCGTTTGAGCGAGGCTGGACACAAAGTTAAAAACATCCAGCAGACACTTGGAGTCGGAAAGACGCAAATCTACGAAACTTTAAAAAACAAGGCACCGATTCAACTCCTGATGACAAGCCACCATCCAGCGAGGAAGCAATGCAAATAGCAACAAATCCATCAGTATGCACAAGAATTACCAGACATCGGTGATCAACGGGACAGTTACTTGCAACTATCAACAAAACTGTATGACACGCAGGCAAACATTGTCATAAACCAAAGAATGCATCCAACAAAACAATCCAAAATAGACACATTTTTTTCCCAAGACAGAAAAAAAATGAACATTAAAATACTGTACGTATTTTACTGTTGTGATTTTTTTTGGATACACCTGTATTGCAGTTTTTGTTATGTAAACAGTTTTTGGACAGTATATTTTTGTATTTTATTGATTGTGTTGTTACACGTGCATTTTGTCAACATACTTGCAGGTTCATAAATGACATGGACCATGCTCATTTCCCAAATGAGGAATTTCTGTTATCAGGACAAATTGGACAGCGCAAACACGAGTCCGCACTAGAGAATATTTACTGTAGTCCCAATTTTGTGGCGCGTCTTTTGTATTTTGTTCATATACCTGCACTGTATGCTGCAGTTTTTGTGTTATAAACAGTTTTGGGAGCATATATTTCTGCATTTTATTGCTTGTGCTGTACACATGTATTTTGTTAACATACTTGCATGTTCATAAAGGACATGTACCTTAGTAGTTTCCCACACAAGGAAATTCTGTTATAAGGAAAGACTGGACAATGCAAACGTGATTCCTTACTAGAGAATACCTATCTGTATATAAGTATTCTGACTTCTGCCATTCCTCTTCGGAATATTGACCTTGCTTGCTGTATTGCATCGTTTTTTTTTCATAGTTGTCAAACTCCAGTCCTTGAGAGACGTCCTCCTGCATGTTTTCCATTTCTCCCTGTTTCAACACAATAATAAATGAACCGGATCGCGATCAGGCTTCTGCAGAGTTTGCTGATGATTTTCCCCTCAAGACAATGACACCATTCCTGGAGCACTAATACGATGGCCAGAAGTTCATGATTAACCACATAATTTGACAACAAACAAATTTGAAAACAAACAGACAGCCAACACATCACACTCCTGTTTCCTCCCACATTCCAAAAACATGCATGAATCCTGGTCACTGAAACAGTCTAAATTGTCCTCAGGTGTGATTGTGAGTGTGAATGGTTGTTTGCCTTTGTCTGCGCTGAGATTGGCTGATAACTACTTCAGGCGTGTACCCCGCCTACTGCCCAAAGACAGGTGGGATAGGGCTCCAGCACGCCCACGACCCAAGTAAGGATAGAACGGTTCAGATAATGTATGCATCAATGGATGGAAAGAAATGATTGAGGGAATGACTAGGACAGCAGCAATTAAAGGTAACGGAAGAAAGGGAATTTTAGAGTGTGGTGTGGTATAATGGGAAGGTGAGTGAGATATGTCAATATCACGGTTTGAAATGAACCAAATAATGTTTTAGGATCCCAGAATGGTAGACACCAGACAAAACTCTGTAACAAAAAATATTTATTCACACAAAACGCACCGACAAATTAGAAACAGAAATCTATGGTCAAATAATGACCAGGGAAAGAAAAACAATACTATAACCAATAGCGCTTGCAAATGGCAAGGAAGAAATTAACCAGAGACTACCAAACGAAATGCCAAGAAGAAGCGAAACGTCCTTTTTTGTTTTTTGTTTTTTGTTTTTTACCCACAGGTACAGATGACGACTGACAGAACCCTTTCTACGATGGAACTTTCCTGTACGACTGAGAGCCTCCACAAGCATAAACTTGTAAATAAAATGAAGGTTTGTCCGGCTCTAAAGATGATCACCTCCCCATGGACTTCAACAGAAAAAGGGGAGAGTCAAAGGCGTTATCACAGTTTAAAAGAGGCAGTGCAATATTATTGAAGTGGGGAATCACGTTTTTTTTCAACTTTTGATAATGGAGGATATTGTAAAACAACACGCCAGGTATTCATAATTTCACAGATTTTGTGTAATATAAACTTGTAAATAAAATGAAGGTTTGTCCGGCTCTAAAGATGATCACCTCCCCATGGACTTCAACAGAAAAAGGGGAGAGTCAAAGGCGTTATCACAGTTTAAAAGAGGCAGTGCAATATTATTGAAGTGGGGAATCACGTTTTTTTTCAACTTTTGATAATGGAGGATATTGTAAAACAACACGCCAGGTATTCATAATTTCACAGATTTTGTGTAATTATCACGAAGTATCCTAAGTATTTTCACATTTTTACTGGCCCCGTTACACAGAACAAGATTGTGATAACTAAAGTAGATTGTAAATGTAGTGACGAGCGCATAAGAACCGACAGGTGGCGGTAACGTATCGCAATTGTCAACAAGCGCTATTAAATACCAAACAAGAAGAAGACAAAGCAAGCAGCACAGTAGCAGAAGAAGAAATCAAGCGCAGTGGATGGACGGAAGATGAAGGGGGACAAAACCATAACACGTATTTGTTAATTGTCAGCAATCGGATTTGTACGTTGCAAGACAGTGAAGTTACTTGTTTACTTTTGTACTGTACCACTGTTCATCAAGGTTGCCACGTTCAGCTAAACTGAGACGAACTGAAGATACCGGGAAGGATTTCATCATCGTAAACATTGGTATGGTGTTTTTTTTTTTTTGTCTTTGTTTTTTCAAAGCACGATTGACAAGTATGAAAATGTTTTGCGGGGAATATGTTGTGATTTAGCCTACGTGTTATAAGAGAAAAAAATCACAATTTCTATTTCTAATAACGTCTTTACCATTGTTAGTTTTGCCAATATTTAAGAATCCAAATAATATGAATGGATTTCTTAACGACGACACTTTAGAAACAAATTTGACCACGTTTTGACACAGCTGATCATAGACTATGAACTTTAGACACCGGAAAAGATTTATTCACTGAAAACACTGGTGCGACTTTTTAAATATCTGTTATATTTTAGCCTACGCATCCAAATACACTTCTAAATAGGTAACTTATTGACCGTGCTTCTAAAACATCTATTTTTATGCTTAAGATTGTCTTACACACGATAAAACACAAACGTTTTGATTTTCTCACTCAAATCTAATTGATAGGCAGGGTTCGGTTATTTGGAGCATTAGTTTAATTTGATTGGAAGTAAACAACTCGACAAGATGTTTTTGTATTGTCACCGTGGTGGCAAACGCATTCACGTTTATTAATCAAGTACAAGTATAGATCTTGTTGGGATTCAAAAATACTTATGAAGAAGTTTAAGTATCAACTCCAGCTCTTACTTCAGGTGTAAAAGTAATAGTTTTAAAACTACTTAAAGTGTAAACGTAAAAGTAATGCAAGGGAAAAAATGCACTGAAGCGAAAGTCAAGTCAAACATTTTCTTTTTAATACTTGCTTGTAGTCCAAACAGTGTTCTGATTAATCTTGCTTTTGTGATATAATAATGACTCAAATACACTCTACCCAAAAATTTTGACTTGATTTCAAGGACAAAAGTGTGGGTCTCATTACAGGGGCATATTGAACAGTACCACACCTTTGCCAAAAACCTTTTATAAAGGCCATAATGATTATAATGTTATATTAATACATTACGTTGAAGGCTACCTGTTTCAGATGCCTATGTGACCATTAAAAATGATAACATTTACTAGGCCTCGAAGGCAAATACATTAAAGTGCCATGTGTACTACTGAGCATTAACGTGTGTTTCATGGAGGGGAAGATATGACAACTACCTTTAATTAAATATTGTAATGGTGCAAAAAGATAGCTATACTGTAAATTCAGATTTAGCTCAAACCCATTTTAACGAACACACGCACAGCCCACCAAACGAGCTTGCAACATTAACTCACAGCCTGTTGCTGCTTCCCAGCAAACCATTGCATGTCTCACTGAGTACGCAGCCATGGCAAACATAGAGTATGCACTATTAGCTTGTGCTAGTACATTACTTAGTATTACATATTAATAAGAAAAATTCCAAGTGCATCCAGGGATGTGCAATGGTTTTCTGGCCTTTCCGGCAATTAACCTCCTCTCTGGTGTTACTCGGTAGGGGCACGAACAGCCGGACATTTTACCGCCAAAGCTATGTATCTGCACGAGGTTGGGTGTGTGGCAAGTTGTCTTAGATTTTTTTTTTTGGTGTGTGTGTGTGTGGGGGGGGGGGGGTGATTTATGTCACGAGCGGGTGCAATGTATCGCATGCAAACCAACTGAGTGTCGGAATGGTATATGTTTATACTTGTTATCCAATTACAATAAAAAAAAATCACTCAATCTATCCTTCAACAGACCATGATAAGATCAATGACAAAAATTGTTTATTTAACAAAATATGCTCACAAGACCAACAAAGTACAACACAAAACGGTGGTAACAATTAACCAGGAATCGGACGAGATTAACCAAAAGCGCTTGCAAAAGGCAAGGGAAACTAATAAACAGTCACTTGACAAAGTCACATGTCGTGAAAAGACAAGGAAAAGCCAATCAGCAAGAAAAAACAAAACACAGAGGATAACACTTTAAACAAGAACAATTCGAAATGGGAACAAAACAAGAAAATACTCCAGACGACGACTATTAGCGAGATAAATGAAGGTCTAGAAAATCAGCACTTGGTCGAAAGTCAAGAGCAAGGCGAATTATCCGACGATTGGTGATGGCTTGGCAGTCCCATAGAATAGGTGACAGTTGATGACATGATGGGAAACAGATGTGGAAGGAGGGGTAAGGCCCTCCAATGCCACGTGCTGGAGATAGACTGAACAGCAACCATGACCATTTGTATGTAAAGACAACAAGAAACGCATTGCATCATGCTTTCTAAAGCTGAGGCGTACCATATTGAATTGTGCCACTTTTAAATCGAACCATACTTGTTCATATCTCACCCCATGTATATGAGACCCATCAAATCGTCTTTCATTGGAGAAATGCGCAACAGCAATTAGGTTAGTAAAGGTCATGTAGCCGGTTGATTTGAGAGCAGATTGGATCTATTTTAAAACATTTTAATTGTTTGGAACAGGGATAAAGAACTTAGCATCACAAAGGGAGGACTTGCCATTGTGTCTTTTGCAGTGTCGCCACATAACTAGTATATGTTAGTTGTGTTTAGTCTTTCGCTGATTGAAAATCACTTATTTTAACTACCGTATTTCCTACACTACAAGGTGCACCTAAAAGCATTCAGTTTTGCCAAAAGCTGACAATGTGCCCGATAGTCCGATGCGCCTCATGTATGGTGCTACACAGTCTCTTTATATTCCCCAATGAGTTGTGTCCCTGTTAGTATTCCTATGCCATCTGGTGGTGATTATTAACAGGGGCCAATTGTAACCTAAAAGGTTTCTGTCCGACACTAATTGGCATGTGCAGTCGCCAACACACACTCAAACAGACAACTACTTTGTGACCTCTGCGCAGCCATTATGAAATGAAGATAATAGCAAAAGCATAGTTAACGACCACCTAAAGAAAGGAAGGAGACAAGCAAGACTTCTAAGGATATTTAGCCCTTTGTGGATGTGAGCCCACGAGGTTTGTGTGCCTTTTTGTTGAATCAATCGTCTTCATAACTTTTGTCTGTCATTTATTCTTTTGTAATGCCATTTGTATTTATATGTTTCATGTCCGTGTTCATGACCAGTTCTGTTGGGCTTTGCTCTATATAAATAAAGCTGCATTGTATTGTATTCCCTTTAGCGTAGCTCCATCTTGTGGATGCATAGCACAACTGCAGTCACTATTGTAGCTTCTATGCGCCTTTTAATGTAGTGTGCCCTATATATGAAAACGGTTTTGAAATAGGCCATTCATTGAAGGTGCTCCTTATAACCCGAAGTGCCTTATAGTGCAGAAAATACGGTAATCTGTATCCTGCTTCAGTGTGTTTTGCGTTCCTTAACTTCTCATCCATCACTCAGATTCAGCAACTCAAAGCCCAACTGGGTGAAAGTGTTACACACGTCAAACGAGAAGAAAGAAATGCAACAGAAACCACTTCTGACTATACTGCACAAATTGTTTTATTGTTCCTCTGTGATATTTGATGACGTAATCCTTTTCAGTCAGTTGTTAACTTCATGACACATTCGTCCCAGTCAGGTGATGGGAGTTGTCAGGACCTAATCGAGAGACTCGGATATCATGGAGAACGACAGCAGGCCTCTGCTTAGCTCAGAGCAGGCTGGAGAGAGCTTCTCGCAGCACAGAGGCTCAACAGACTCACTGGACTCCAGAGCTAAAAGGTACACAGCCCATCATTATTCTCTTATGAACCAGCACTGCACTGTCTTTTCTGTGACAGACTCATAATAGATTTGGTCTGGAAAGGCGCGCACACATTCTCCACCCTCGATAGACAAAGCAGACTAAATAACTAGCATGCATTTGGAAGTTGCATACCATCTCCACACCGAAAACAAAACGCTACCATATGTTGTCATATGACTTGAACATCTCTATGTCACTTGGCCAACACTGAGGTTGACACTCTAAGCTAAACCTCAGGCTGTTTACATGTGTGTGTAAAATGGTTGCATTCTTTATATAAACACAACTACCATACAGCTAAAGCAGTAAAATATTTTGATAGTTTGGACAATGATGCAGCGTCCTAGTCACGACAAAAGTCGAGAGGATTTTCAAACTTTGACATATCAGCTGTTTTTACACATAACTACGGGAAGTTATGTGACCGACATACAATCTTCTGCTTTGTCACAATACCCCAGAGAAACATTATTCTGATCAATGTATGCATCGGGAGATATAGAAATAATAATAATAATAATAATAAAAAATACTGAATTAATCACTGCGATTGTCTGGCAACCGGTTCAGGGCGTCCCCCGCCTACTGCCCGAAGACAGCTGGGATAGGCTCCAGCACCCCCCGCGACCCTTGGGAGGATAAGCGAATCGGAAAATGGATGGATGAATTAATCAGTCACAGTAATTTTATTCAAAGTACCTTCCCGAATTCCACATCTATGGCGGAATTAAAGTCTACACAGTGCCGTTTAAATGCCAGATTTAAAAAAAAGAAGACAACAAGATAAATCATTCCAATCATTCAACCATTAATACGATTTATAACTTGTATAACGCGATGAAAATATATAAATAAATACATGAAATGAAAGCCAACTATGTTTTTGTCATCTTTATTATGCTAGTGCGATTTATACTCCTGAGAGATTTATAATTCGGAAGTTATGGTAACATCTATATCTCTTTTTTTTTGTCATAGAAATGCTTTTACATGGGTAGAATTGTTTAGTTTTTTTGGTTTTGGTTTTGAAGACGCTTCTTTTTGTTTCATTACTCAGCAAATTGTTTTGCAGGGCAAGTCCGCTGGCCAGACTTAGGTCAGCAATCTTCGCTGTCACGCGATGACATCATTTACTAAAAATAGAGTCCAGTGAATTTGAAAGGGTGCTGTGCTCTCCTGTGTTCCAAAGGAGGCCCCTTTTCATCTCTCCTTGACCTGATGACGCAATCAACAAAAGTGAAGGAGAGGTGGCATAAAGTTTAGGAGATTTGACTTCCTGATGATTGTGAAGAACATTTTCGACTTGACTATGTGTTTGTTAAACGCTGAGCACCGCCACATACCCAGTTATTAGAAGCTGTGTACCTCTGTAACCACATCTCTTGATTGTATTTTCTCCCCCCCACCACCTTTTTTTCATTTAACTTTTTACAGCAGGTTTTCGGCCACATAAATGTGTGGGGCGGGGGGGGGGTTGATGATTTTTCTTGTTTGCAGTTTTATATCACAAAAACCTGCCATATGTGCAGAGGTATGTAGACTTCTATTCTCCATTTTAATATCAGGGGAAAAATACAGCTCGTGTGATTAACTTTCGTGTCACACATGAGGGGGAGGAAACAACAGTGCTGAAGTGATGACACGATCCTGTTTTTTCCACTTTTCAGTTATACGAAATGAATCAGTGGAATACTTTTTTGCCAAATTCAGTAATCAGATTAAGATGCCACAAATGGCTTGTAGCATGAAATGTGAATTTAAATGGGTCTGAGCAGCTTTAATTTCTGCTTTGACTAACCCATTTTGTTCCCTTTGGTCTTTCAACTTGAGTATCTTTCCTTTGAAATCACACAAAAGTATTTTGTCCTCATCCACAAACCTTACGAAGTAGATGTCTTCTCATTCATTTGAAAAAGTGCTCAGCAGTTTCGCAAATCAGCGTTTTACTCAAATTTATTGCGTAACTTTGAGGAAGTCGTACTTGTGCAAAAACAATAGCAGACAGACAATCTGTGCTGTCGTCAGCGGGATGCCGCTTGTGGCACTGAGCCACTAAACCGTTTGCCTTCAAGCGATGTCGAAGAACTCGGTCAAGGATGAAACATATTTCTGACAGATGAGCAATGTTTGTGGACATCACTACGCAATGCCCACCTCACTTTGAGCAACATTATTTCTTGAGTTAATGGCTACCTCTAAGGAAACATATTGCGAAAACTTGACTTTTTATTGTTTGTATACAAATAGTTGGGACCCTGGTGCACCCGTCCATCAAGTGAGAAGTAATTCTAAAGGAGAGCTATTTTGTGAATTTATGTCAACGCAATTTACATAATAGCCAGCCCGGCAGCAGCCACCGACACAGCATGAGACTTTCTTTGGCACTATGTCAAAGTCGAAAGTCAAGTAGAACTGCATTGACTTTTCTGATAAGCAGCACAAATTGATTTCTTAGTGAAGCTGTCGATGCGGCGGCATTGGAAAGTATTTGTGTTTGACGATGTGTCGGCAGTATTATCTCGTGTTTGAATTCGTAATATTTACTGTCTATCGTGTTTAACTATTTGGATTGCTTTCTTAGGGCACATTTGATAAGCGTTTGAAAAAAAGTGAGAGAGGTGTATCAATTTTTTTACATTTAACCATTTACTTTTTATTCATTTTATGCAGGCCTATTCATCTGTTTATTCATGTATCCATTTATTCTTATTTTCTATCCTCCAGCATTTTATTTCCCACCCTAATGTTCTTTACTTTGATCTTATTTAGTCGGACTGATTTTTAGTCTTTCGGAGTTAACAAACTGTAAAAGTTGTAACTCCGATGCCACCTCATGGGACACTCCACGCCAATTGATGCGGTTGGTCTGCCCGCGAGGATGACATCCTGCGGGCCGGGGAGCTTGGGGATACGGGGGGTGGGGGCTCTTCACAATAATAGGAATATGTGACAGTATGGACATGGCAAGGCACCGAGGAGCCAAATGAAGGAAGCAATCTGTGGGAGCAATGCACACACGCCCAGATGTGTCGCAACTACACACGCTTTGAAATGCACGCATGCGATTTGGTGTGGATGAGTTCTTTTTTTTTTTTAAATAAATAAACAAGGCAGTGTGGACGGAAGCTTTTTCCTACACAGAGAGGGGGAAATATTCTGCTTTAACAAAAAAAAAAAAAAAAAAAAAACCCACCCCCCTGTCGCCAAGGGCAAAAACT